TGGATTTATAGAAAACCATTGAAGCTTTGTCTATTTTTATTTATGTATATAAAGACAAACTCTCAGTTATTAATAATGCCTGAAATCAACACCAATATTGTTACTTTTAAGATTCCGTGAAGCACTAAATATTAGCTTAAGAATGCATTTTGTCTATTCTTGATATGTTATTGTTAACTAAGGAATTTCATTATGCAAACTTTAGCCTTTCCTAATATATTAATATAAAATATACGTGATTGTATAGATGAGGGAACTCCTATCTCCTGTGCTTAGTAGCAGGTGCCGTATTATGGATGAGTTTGACAGCTATTTAGTAAAATATGCACAGTGCCATCTAGTGGTGCATAATCATTATTGCACAACCTAAATATTAAAATGATTTAACTAGCACAACAGTAAGCAACAGATTTATACAACTGTCAGACTTTTACAACAGACTTCTTAATGAATCTCACCTCAGCATCTCTTAGTGTTCCTATTTAAATAAACAAAAGGCTTATGATACTTAAATTTCTCAATAACTAATATATATTGAAGGCTTGTGTTAAGCACTATGCGAAGTGCTTTATGTGAATTATCTCATTTTATCCCCCAAAACAACCCTGTAGTGGAGAAAATAGTATTGTCCTCATTTTATACAGGCAAGGAAACTGAAACATAAGGAAGTTAAGTGACTTGCCCAAGGTCATAGGGGCAGTCAGTAGGGGAACCCAGCCACTGCCCTGGTTCCTACATCTTCTGTGCTATGATTGCACCTCCCAAGGTAGTTGCCAGCGAAAAAAAGTTTCCAGGAAACCTTTAGGAAAGATAGCCTCCTCACCGGGTTTCTAATAATCCAAGATGGTAAAATCAATTTAAGCTCCACTAACTCAAAATTCATGACACCTAAACTGAATAAGTGTCTGCTTTTGTGGCTAGAATGCACTTTGTGATTTTTTTTTACTTCACCCACATAATATGTCATCAAGATTATGGTTTGATTAGTTTATTGAAATCAGGATACTTGGCTAAAATTTAGTTTTTGATACACAGGTCTTTTGATGATAGAATAGTATGGCTTAAGTCAGAGTGTATTAGTTATTTTAATACATATAGCTCATTTGTTGAGCACCTATTATGTAAATACATGTTCCCTTTTAATCTCACTATAACTCCTTCTGGACAGCATTCATTTCCTCATTTATATAAAAGGAACAGTACAATGTATAAATAAAATATTATTATGTTTTATTTTTATTAATAAAATTTTCCCAGTTTTACAGTTATTTCTGGAGCCAGGAATGAAACCTTAATCTTTGTGGCTGTACAATCTGAATTCCTTCCACTCTGCCACCCCTGGAAATGAGGGGTACAATGTACATGACTACAGTTCTTTCTGCATAGTACCACCTTGTATGCAAAAATAACGCCAGCTCTTATTTGAACTAAAACATGTTCATATGCTCCAACTACTTCCCGCTGTGTGCCTGTCCATCTCTGTTTTTCCCTTAAAGTCAGAAATGACGTTTTTAAGCTGTGTTCCGGATCCTGTCACTCTCCTACTTAAAACCCATGTCTTTATACTCAGCACAAACAGCCAAATCCTCATCATAGTTATCGTGCTCCTGCAACTTTATCTTGTTCTCCTGGCCCCATCATGACCATATCATATTCCCATTTTATACCTAGCATGCTATATGTCACAGAGTGTCGCGATTTCTGATCATCCATTTGTGTGATTATGTGAGTCATGTCGGTATTCCCACCAGTCGTTAGCTCACATAGGCAGAAACCACATCCGTATAGTTTGTATTAATTCCCCAGAATCTACCCCAGTGCTTGTGCATAATCATGAAAACTAGTTTTACTTAAATCATTTTTAATGACCTATTCTCACAGTTAGCCAGAATTATATTATTTTCATAAAATATTTTTCTTTATGTTTCCTTACATTAGGGCCTTGAATATGTAGGCACATAAATGGAGCATATTTATGTTTAATAATTTTCATATGATTTCTAGATATTTGTTTATAATAAACAATTATTATCTCCTACATGACATGCCATATTCCAAGTATTTTACAGGCATTATATTATTCAATTCTTATAGTAATCATCTGAAAGTAGATGCTATTTTCAGTTCCATTTTTCTAACATGAAGATTCAGAGAAGTTAAGTAATTTGACTGACAGGATTCCTAGGATTCAAACCAGTGTCTCTGTGATTCTTCAGGACTATGCCTTATTGCTTTTTTAGAAAGCAAATACATCCTTAGAAAACCCTGTTTGACTGTTGAGTCATTTCTTTGTCATTCTCTCATTTAGTCAAAAGATATTTACCAAGTTCCTATGATGCATAAGGCACTGTGATGGGCACTGGGGGTGTGAACAGTTATCACAATAGGCACAGTCTCGTTCTGTGCCACATGCAACACAGAATGGGAAACAGATAACCCGTTGGTCCACACAAGAGTGCCCACTGCATGCTGTGATGGGAAGGACAGAGCTCTAAGGTGGCACATACGAGGGCTATAAAACCTGGAGACAGGGTTTCTGATCCAGCCCAGAAAGACATTCTTGAAGAAGTGATATTGACACCAAGGTAAGTAGATGAGAAGTATGCAGGGGCTAGATGAAAAAAGAAAAGAAAGAGAGAGAAAGTACTGAAAGCCTTGTTTAGATTTCAAATTAATGGGCAGTTATTAAAGGACTGTAAGCAGCATACAAGTGACATGTCAAATTTACAGTTTAAAAATGACACTCTGGCCACAGTGAGTAGGAAGGAGTACAGAAAGGTTGAAACTGACTCGGCCAACCAGTAAGTGTGAATAGCGTTGGGTGACAAAATTGGGTGGCGGCAATAAAGGTTCATGGAAATGGTGGGATTACAGTGATGTTTAGGAGATACGCAGTCCATAGGACTTGGCCATTGGTGGAACCCAGGAATTAAATCTCCCTGGAGGGAGTATAGGGAGTGGGAGGGGTTGTGGCATTCACCAAAGAAGGGAATCCCAGAGCAGCCAAGGAGAGAGATGAATATGGGTTGCTCACGCTGAAACTGAAGTACCTAAGGAACCCTTATGTGGGCTGCTCCTGCAGTCACTCCTATGGGCCTGGATAATTCCACCCCTGGGAATTCTAAAAGGGTTTCTATCCCTTATAAGGGCTCAGCAAGAGAGAGAAAGCATCCAGATTTCCTCCCTCTGCTAAATGGCTGCTGTCTCCATTAGGGTCCTGTGGTTAGAGATCCTGCAGTTAAACTTAGCTTAGGAAAAGGGTCTGACTTCAAAAGACTGTTGGCTAGCTGGCGTACTTCTTATTATAATGGAAGAAATTGGTGATAGAGTTATCCTATACCAAAAGTAAGAAACCATAGATCTGTTCTGAAAAACAAAAGTAAAGAGAGAATCCAAGAAAACAGTCACATAGCTCAATGCTAGGCATCCATAGTAGAAGCTGATGTTAGTTTTGCTTATTAGATGTAAAGCCAGGAGTGAGCAATGAGGTAGAAGATAAAAAAATAGAGAGCTATTAGTGAAAGAGTATATACACAGTACATATTTCTCAAGAACTAAAACTAATTGTTATATTTCATTGAGAATAAACAAAATAATTATTTGCAAATGTAAATGCATAATGAAAAGTCAACCTTAAATGGTGAAGATGTGGAGGAACAGGAACTCTCATACACTGTTGATGGGAATGTAAAGTGGCTCAACTACTTTGGAAAATACTTTGGAACTTTATGTAAAAATTAAACATTCACCTACCGTGAAACCCAGTCTTTTCATTTCTAAGTATTTACTTAATATTTTTAATGATTTTAATACTTTGAATCTCTCATTATCTGAGAGAAATGGAAGCCATATACCTATATAAAGACTTGTATGTGATTGTTCATAGCAACTTTATTCATAAACAAAAGCTTTATGCTCATCAACAAGTGAGTTGATAACCAAATTGTGATATATCCACATAATGTAATACTACTCAGCAATAAAAAGAACCAAGTATTGATACATTCAGCAATGTATGTACGAATTTCAAAATAGTTAACACTAAGTAAAAGAATCCAGACCCAAAAAAGAGTGTTTACTATATAATTACCATTATTAAGAACTGAAATTTGCAACAGAAAGCAGATCAATGGTTGCCTGGAACAGGAATGATGGATTATGGATTACAAAGGAGCATGAGAAAGCTTTTGAGGGTAATGACATGTTCTTTATCTTGGTCATGGTCATGGTTTCTGGGATCTCATAACAATACCTCAGGGCAAATAGGGAAGAACATAGAAACAGTTTTCTTGACTATTCTAGTGAAAGTAACCATGACTTAATTCAGCTGGTATAATGCAGCCAGGAAGCTGCTTGATCTTGACCAGCTTAGTTCCGTGATATGTGACTTAGTTCTGCTGTTGCTGCATTGTATAGATAACCTTTCCTTTTTACCTTGTCTTCTTGCCTACGTTAACTTTCTTTTTTTTTTTCTTATTTCCAACTGCATACTACTAAAAAACACATAAATAAATGAAAACATTTTAAATACTCAAATGCAATTTGGACATCCTTTCAAACACTGGAATTTAAGTGCTGGCCTTTTCTTTTTGAGGGGGCACAGTGTGCAGTGGGGAAATAACTTTTAAACTGATAGATTTGGATCTGAATACCAGTTCTGCCATTGACTCCTCTTCTACTTTTGAATTTGTCAGTTCAGTTTCCAGATCCTCAGGTATCTTACATGTAACATGGGGATAATAGCTGTACTTCAAGGATGATTGTGAAGATTGAAAATAACTATCTATTGTGGTGGTCAGCAAATCATTTGCTTGCTATTATATAATGCACATCAAGCCTTAGAGATAATGCACAGTCTATGTTCATTTACTTATGTTGACCCCCTACAACAGCTGCATACATGTGATACCTAGAAATAAACAAGGCAGAGGGACATGTGAAGTAGCGTATTTGTCTTCCATGTACTTTGGGCTGATGTGTTGACTCTGCTTTAATCGTAGTGCACCTGGTGGATATATGGAATGTCATAGAAGCATTGCGGGAAAATGCTCTGAACAACCTGGACCCAAACATTGAGCTCAACGTGGCCCGCTTAGAGGCTGTACTCTCCACCATTTTTTACCAGCTCAACAAACGGATGCCAACCACTCACCAAATCCACGTAGAGCAGTCCATCAGCCTCCTCCTTAACTTCCTGCTTGCAGCCTTTGATCCGTAAGCACCCTCTGAATGTCTGTTCCTCTCTACATGTTAGGTTTCCAGTTCCTCTCTTACTTGGTCTTTTTCCCAAATAATTTTCTATCACTTTTTTTTAACTCTCTTTTCTCTTGCATGGGATGCATATGTCAGTAAAGCCTCCATGTGTTTAATATAAATTTTAAATGCTGTAAAGACTAGAGAGTACAATGGTACCAGAGGAACTTGAGGACAATTGTATTTTATGTGCTGACCTTTAGTTAACTCATCCCATGCTTCCTGGAAGCTGTGGATGCTTGAGAGGGTTGCCTGTGGAGCAATTTAATGAAGCGTGAAGTGGGAGGATGTTAACTCTCTTCTTTGCAAATTGTTTAGGACAGTGTTTCTGAGGTGTCCTAACGAGGCCCTAGAGCAAACAAGAGAAAAATTGAAAAGGGTTTCTTGACTATCCCAGTCAAAGTAACTATGACTTGTGTTAAATGGACTGGTCAATTTAAGTGTTTCAATCATAAGATAATGGGATGCTGTGCACAGACCACAACTGAAGCTCGGCTTCATTTTTGTATAATTTGCCTTTTTAGAATCAGAGAATTTCAGAGCTGGCTGAGATCTTAAAGACTGTTCATCCAAATATCTCCTTTTACAGATGAAGGAATTGAAGCACAAAGAAATTGTCACTTGTTTGGTGTCTCACAGCATGTTAGTAGCCAAGTGGGGACTTGGGTTTCTTTACCTAGGTATATGTGGACTCCTCTGAATTACATTCTCAGCCTACAATTCTAGAGGGCTTTTTGCCAGTAGCCTCCAGCCTGGGCATAGTACCATCCCCCTCCATTTCCACTGCTTGTTTTGAATATTAAAAAGGAAAATTACTAACCTGACCTTTCAGCAATCGCATTTTAAGGTTCTCAGAAGATTTTATTTAGTCTCATTGTCTGGCCAGTGCTTAGAAGTATTTACCCCGGCAGTGGAGATGTTCCAGCCAGGCTAATGTTATTTTGCAACTCACAAAAGTCACCAGCTGTCACTTTGCAACTTAGTTCCTGCTCAGTTTTTCCAGTGTGCATTGTCGTGTTCATGATGTTTACATTTTGATAAATTCTCCAGTTGAAATCAACAGTTTTACAATGAGCAGTCCAGGCTGGTAGATTCTTTTCTTTGGCTGTGCACACTTCAGAACGAGATGTACTGCTCTGTCTTAATCACTATGGTAACTAGATGGTGGGGCAGGTAAAGGGAACTGTGATTCCATTCTGACTGGCGTGAGGTGGTGTCTCAGTGTGGTTTTTATTTGCATTTCTCTAATATTCAGTGATGATGAGCATTTTTTATATGTTTGTTGGCCTCATATATGTCTTCTTTTGAAAAGTGTCTGTTCATATCCTTCTCCCACTTTTGGATGACAACAGATGCTAGAGAGGATGTAGAGAAATAGGAGCAATTTTACACTGTTGGTGGAAGTGTAAACTAGTTCAACCATTGTGGAAGACAGTGTGGCGCTTCCTCAAGGACCTAGAAATGGAAATTCCATTTGACCCAGCAATCCCATTACTGGGTGTATACCCAAAGGATTATAAATCATTCTATTATAAAGACACATACACACATATGTTCATAGCGGCACTGTTTACAATAGCAAAGATCTGGAACCAACCCAAATGCCCATTGACAATAGACTGGACAAGGAAAATGTGGCACATATACACCATGGAATACTATGCAGCCATAAAAAACAATGAGTTCGCGTCCTTTGTAGGGACATGGGTGAATCTGGAAACCATCATTCTCAGCAAACTGACAAAAGAAGAGAAAATCAAACACCACGTGTTCTCACTCACAGGCAGGTGTTGAACAATGAGAACACATGGACACAGGGAGGGGAGCATCACACACTGGGGTCTGTTGTGGGGAGGGGCAAAGGGAGGGACAGTGGGGGTTGGGAAGGTTGGGGAGGGATAACATGGAGAGAAATGTCAGATGTAGGTGATGGGGGGATGGAGGCAGCAAACCACATTGTCGTGTGTGTCCCTATGCAACAATCCGGCATGATCTGCACATGTACCCCAGAACCTAAAGTACAATTAAAAAAAAAATAAAAAGAGAACTGTGATTCCAAATGACAGGCAGCAGAGGCAGCAGAATGGAACCTGGCCATGGCATTTCTGTAGTGGCATTTCTAACCTGGCCCCATAAACAGACTGCAGCAGCTTTCAGATTTACCCCTAAAGATCTCAGGGACTTATTTGTTAGAAATGTAACAATGGAAACTGTAAAAAGAGAATTATAATTTCCCACTAAATCCTGGAGTATTGCTAGAGAACTCATAAAGAATCAGAGCTAAAGCATAATTTGCACCTTCTCCAGACAAACAATAAGGAAGGGGATATTTTGTGAAATAATATAGGATTCACACTAATATAATTAGATTTTTCACTTTTGTTCAGAAATATTGGCTAGATTACTTCTATACAGAGAGCTATGAATGGTCTCTAAATAGCTGCTGAAAATATAGCTGAATCATTTCAAGACTGATGAAATGCTGAGTTTGACATCTATCTCAAGGTAAGGAGCAATTCACAAAAAGGTTCAGAAGAAATGTTTATTTCGTGCCTATTCTTATTATAGATAGGAAGCCTCCTGGTGTATACTTTCAATAATCTCATTGTAGAAGATTTATAAACACATCCACATAGACGAATTTTACTCAAAAGATTTATAAACATATCCATGAAGAGATCCTACTCTGTAGACACTTCTGCTTTATCTCCTTTAGCATAACAAATGAGTATAGGCAGTTCTACTGACACTCAACATTTTCCATCTGATGGCATGGAATTTTGGATGAGAAATGTAAACCATCAGGAAGTACAACTAACTGGATATGTAACTTAGAAGTGAATATAAGAAAAGAAACTTAAGAATAAAATAAATGTTCAAATTCTATTTCTTATAATAGTAAACTGCTATGTATCCAAGTGGGACCCAGTATGGAAATCTGATGCTACTTCCTACCACCTGTCCCCCGACAGAGTCCAAGTGTTTAAGAGAACCTTCTGTATTTTGGCAGACATGAATGATCCTGATACTAGTAAAAGAACGATGTGCTGTTGCTATTACAGAATCATGGAAACATTTAGGGGATTTTCTCCCATTTGCTGCATTTTAAATGGACATCTAAATAAACAGGGAAAAAATTCAAAACAAAAATTAGAGATGCCTTAAGAACCTAGACTCTAAATAAGTGATGCTAAAGATAACTAAATAAAAGGGAGGGGCAGTATTGTGATTTAAACTCATGAAGAATACCAACTTGGATTCAAAGAAACTTTGTCATTTTAGTGGGGAGGGGTGATCCCTTAAGATTCACTAGACCCCCAGGCAGTTGAACTCTGTGAAGAAAGTGGTAGCTTGAGATGAGGATTGATGCCTCCTTTACTGGGATGTACTTCTGAGAACCAGACTTACCTTTCCACAATCATAGTTCCCCAAGAATAGCATTCCCTCTCCCACAAAAAAAAAAAAAATGGAGCTCAGTTTTCATACAAGGATGTTTACTGCAAACTATATCAGCTTCTTGGTTACAAAGTTTCTCTCTGCTCACTGGCAAGTCAACCTCTCAGAAGATATTATAGCTGAGTCTGTAGGTGATTTGTACAATGTTAGAAGGGGCAGTGGGCTCCAGTGGTCTGTGCTCATGCTTGCCATTCTGTCCCTGAAGACACGGTTCCTTGAGTCCAAAGATTTTTGTTCTTTGTGACATTCTTTTTTAAAATGGCTATATTCCTGGGAGGGAGGTCACCCAGTGAGCAGTTACCAACCAACTTCTAAGCAAATCTCCACAGCCAGATGTTATCTTTTTTGAGGTGTCTAGGGGAATGGATGAGTGTGCCTGAGAAGGATTGGAAGATGTCAGAAAAAAGACCAGGGCCTGAGAGGGAAGAAGATAATGTGAGAAAGCAGCCAGAGCTTGAGCCGGCCTCTTCCTCTTGTCCCTTTCCTCCGATCACCCCAGGAACTCGCCTCCCACCTTCCTTTCTTTGCTGCCAGGAGCCTTCCACTCCTGTGTCTCCTCCAGAATCGCCCCAGCAAACTGGCTCAACTTTTTCTGTCACCTCTTGTCCATATTGTATTGGGGTGGGGGGAATCTCTTAGAAGTCTTCAAAGGAACTTTAACATTGTTATTATTATTTCATAGGAAATAGAAAGTAACTCAAAAGAAAAACATTACAGAAAGTTAAAAGATGAAAATAATTCTGAAACGTTTATAATGTGCAACCTTTTTGAGAGGTGCAATCACATACTCTGATGCTCTGTGGAGCCTTTTGCCTCTCACGGCCAAGTTGATCACCTTTCCACAGGTCCACCTCTCCTTGCACCTGATTCTGCTATTGTCTTATAGTGCCTGTGACTGTTTATATGACTGTCTCCCACAGACTTCTTTAGGAAGGTACCGTATTTTATTCTTCTTATGAACGGCACCTGAGATCATACCCAACACAAGAATGAATCAATGAATGAAAATCCAGGGTTGATCTTTCTTAGCTCTTGTCATATTAATTTCTTTTAACTCTCTTTTTTTTTTTTAAGACTGAGTCTCACTCTGTTGCCCAGGCTGGACTGCAGTGGCACAATCTCAGCTCACTGCAGCCTCCACCTCCCAGATTCAAGCAATTCTTGTGCCTCAGCCTCCCGAGTAGCTGGGACTACAGGCATGTGCCACCACACCTGGCTAGTAATTGTGTGTTGTTTAGTAGAGACAGGGATTCACCACATTGCCCAGGCTGGTCACAAACTCCTGGGCTTACACGATCCACCTGCCTTGGCCTCTCAAAGTTCTGGGATTACAGCAGTGAGCCACCATGTCTGGCCAATTTTCTTTTAATTCTTTTTCTGAAATTAAGTCCTCTTTGATCTCCAATATATTACAGACTAGTGAGTCCCAGTCACTGAGATTCAGACCCTCTATTTTTACATCTGTTCCACAGACAAAAAAACAAGTGTTCATGGCGACCAATGTG